ACCCAGCTCCAGAGAACAGACCTGCCACCCTTCTGTGTCCACTGAGACAGCAGACCTACCTGCTGTGTCCATCAATTGCTGTGCCAACAGCAGTCTTGCGACTGTTGTAAAAGGGACGTTTCAATCATATGTGAAACATCCTCCTTGGGGGTATATAACCACTCCGTACACCCCACTTCTTTGGTGCCCTTTCTTCCTTGGGGAAGGAAGGCCCTGGGCTATATGGTCCTCACATTTTGGCTCAGAATAAACTTACCCCAATTTTCTTTTATAGATTGATTATGGATTATTTGCATCAACAAAAGCATGAAAAAAATTTAAGCGAGGAATCCCAGGCAGGAAAGAAACAGAAATGCTTCCTCATCAGTTTTAACAGCAAACAGTCTTTGAGTCACCAAGACCCTGAGGGTTCCTAGCTAAGGACTCAGACGGCTTACAGCGTCTATCCCGCGTGGACTCTGATTTTCTTCCAAGGTAACTGGGAGCCTGAGAATTCCTTGATCTGCTCTGCTAATGGTGTCACATGACGATGAAGTGAGTCACTGTCAGCACACCTCTCTAAGCCTGACAAGCACCTGCCTGCAGTGAAGGAGGGACACAGCGCCTCCTGCAGACGGCGCCCTGTGGCTGCCCATTCATTTTGCTATTCTCAGAATTGCACTGCAAAGTGTTTTGTAGCTTTCAAATTTTAAACAGTTCTTCCCGTGGGATTTTATTTCCCAAGAAAAGAAATCTCTCGCAGGTGATCTGACAGCTCCAAATCTATGAAGACAACGTGCTTGGTTTCCTCAGATGCTACATTAAAACCCGTCTCCGTTCAGAACTGGCCACAATGTTATCTTGTATTCAGTCTGGAGGAAGAAAATCAAGGAAAGGAGCAGGTGCTTCGGTGTAGCTCATTTCCTTGGACAGCACTTCTTCCATTCAGATAGAGCTCCGTTGGTCCTTCCCCAACTGCACCCTGATGAGCCATTTCTGCCTGAGTCCCCACAGCGCTGTGAGCTCAGAAAGGCGGGCTGGGGGCTCGGGTCCTATTCACGGCCCACTGCAGCGTTTGCTGGGTATGATCCCATGTGATCCGTACTAAACGTCGGATGAATGAACAAGAATTCGCTCCTTCAAACCTGAGTCTCCACTGCCACTGAAGTTGTATTTAATATTCTTATTTGCATTATGCTTGGGTTCAAACGGAGGTGTTCCCCATCACTCCCAGAGGCTCTCCCGCCTGCCAGGAGTCCCTGCTTCACCCATATCAGCGGCTCCAGCCATTCTGGTGACTTTTCTGTGCTCCAGGATCCCTCTTGTCTTAGTCTGTTTGGCTGCTGTAACAAAACACCATAGACGGGGCAGCTTAAACAACAGACATTTATGTCTCACAGTTCTGGAGACTGGAAGTCTGAGATCAGAGTGCCAGCATGTTGGGTTCTGGTGAGGACCTGCTTCCTGCCTTGTAGACAGCTCCGTTCTCGCTCTGTCCTCCTGTGGTTTTTCCTGTGCATATGCTGGAGAGAGAGCTCCCTCTCTTCCTTTCCTTATAAGGGCGCTAATCCCATCACGAGAACCCCACCCTCAGGACCTCTTCTGAACTATCACCTCCCAAAGACCCCCCTCCCAATACCATCACACTGGGGGTTGGGGCTTCAACAGGCATTTCAGGGAGGCACAGACATTCAGTCTCTAACGCCTCCTGCTGAAGAGCCCGTGGTGGCCCGAGGAGGGCACTCCATGCGAGGGCCTCTCCACTAGCTCCTCCCTGCTACTGGGCACCACTACCCATTAGTGAGTAGGTTTCTGGAGGTCCGTCTACAAGATGGCCCTGGAGAGATTTCCCAAATGGACCCACGGGGTTCTGCTTCAGAGTGGAGGAGGGAACTCCCACGAGAGGGACCCCCCAACCCCTCCAACAGATGACAGTGATAAACTTGGGACAGAATGCGAAAAACGACTCCTGAGCTCTCTGAAGAGGATGAAAACAGGACTACTTTGGAGGGGGGTGAAAACTTGCAGGGAGCACCCAGCAAGGTGCAGGTTCCCCTTTCTGCTGCTTTTCTCTGAGGACAAGCACAGTTGCAGTGTGGGGCAGGTGGCTAAACATCTGAGGGAAAGGTCTCTCTGCCATCTGTCTGGCTGGAGTGAGCAGGGAAGGAGTCCAGGGGAACCAGGGCAGCTGGACAGTGAAGGAGGAAGGCCAGGCAGGACAGCCAGACAGGGGCAACCCCAAATCCTGTGTGTAAACTCTGCCCAAGCCTTGCTGACCCTCAGGCCACATGCTTGGGGCAGACAGAGGCAGTCTACACTGAGACACAGAGCTGCAGTTAAGTTCACCACGTGAGTTGACCACTAAAATGAAACCATCAACACTCTTCAGAGAATATAACAGAATTCAGAGTCTCCACAGCATAACATTCACAATGTCCCAGATAGAATCTAAAATTACTCAACCAGGAGAATATGACGTGCTCTGAAGGGAAACGACAGTCAACAGAGCCAGCCTCGAGATGACCCTGACTCATTGGAATTGTCAGACAATGACTTGAAGAAGCTATTGTCACTACGCTTAGTTAGGCAAATTCTCTCATGATGAGTGAGGCGATATGGAATCTCAGCCGACAGATAGCAAATATAGAAAAGAACCAAATGGAAATTTTAGAACTGAAGAATATATCTGAAAAAATTTTAAAATCACTGGAAGGAGCTTAATGGTAGGATCAAGGTAATGGAGGAAAGACGAAGTGAACTTGAAGACAGATCTATAGAAATGATCCAATCTGAAGAAGAGGAAAAGAAGATTTTTAAAAATGAACAGGGGGCCAGCCCAGTGGCACAGTGGTTAAGTGTGCACATTCCACTTCGGCGGCCCGGGGTCCACCAGTTTGGATCCAGGTGCAGATGTGGCACTACTTGGCATGCCAGGCTGTAGTAGGCATCCCACATATAAAGTAGAGGAAGATGGGCATGGTTGTTAGCTCAGGGCCGGTCTTCCTCAGCAAAAAGAAGAGGATCGGCAGCAGTTAGCTCAGGGCTAATCTTCCTCAAAAAAAAAAAAAAAAAAGAACAGAACCTCAGGGACTTGTAGGGCAATATTAAAAGGCCTAATATATGGGTAATTGGACTTCCCAAAGGAGAACAGAGAACAGTGCTGGAAAATTATTAGAAGAAATAATGGCTAAAAACTTCTCAATTTGGTGGAAGTCATTCAATTGTAGATTTAAGAAGTTAATGAAGCCCAAACAGGATAAATGCAAAGAAAATCACCCCTAGGCACATCAGAGTCAAACTGCTGAAAGATGAAGACAAAAATCTTGAAATCCACTAAGAGGAAAATTAAACGTTATGTACAAGGAACGAGGATGAAAATGACTACAGACTTCTCATCAGAAATCAGAGAGGCCAGAATCCGGTGGGACATCTTCACAGTGCTGAGACAAAAACAAAGTTGCTAACCCAGAACTCTGTATTCATAAAAGTATCCTTCAAGAATGTCTAGATGAAGGAAAACTAAGAGACTGTGCTGCCACCAGACCTGCATCACAAGAAATGCTCAGTGGAGTTTTTCAGGCTGAAGGGAAATATACGTGTAAATACAAAAGACTATCTCTCCTCTCAATTTCTTTGAAATACTGTCAAAAGTAAAATGTATTACACTGTCTCATAGGACTTACAATGTAGGTAATGTAATATTTATGACAACTACAGCATAAAATATGGTGGGGGGTTAAGGACCCGGTTGGTCCCAAGATTTCTGTATGTTACATAAAATGGTGCAACATTAACTCTGCTAGACTGCGAAAAGTTGAGGGTGCATATTGTGACATCTAGAGCAACCTCTAAGATATAATGCCAAGAGATATATCGAAAAGTCCAATAGATGAATTCAGATGCAAGTCTATAAAGTAAACAACAAACCCCCCAAAATAAGGAGAGGGATGCAGAGAACAAGAAAGATGTGGGCAAAGAGAAAACAAATAATAAAACGGTAGACCTAATCTAACCACATCAATAATTACATTAAATATTAATGGACTGAGCACTCCAATTAACAGAGATGATCAGAGTGAAGAAGCAGACAGGATCCAACCATACACCGTCTGTGAGAGACGGGCTTTAAACATAAAGACAAACGGGGTCGAAGACGAATGGATGGAAAAAGTATGCCATGAGACGGTAAGCATAAGAAGGTAGAAGCGACTATATTGATGTCAGATAAAATAGACTTCAAGGCCAGAAATATCATAAATGATAGAGACTTTACACAAAGAGAAAAGAATTGACTCACGAGGGAGACACGGCGATCTTAAATGTATATTTGCCTAATAACACAGCTCCAAAATACATAAAGCAAAATTTACAGAATTAAAGACAGTTTTCACACCATAGCTGGAAGATTTCAATACCCCTCTCTCAGCAAATGATGGGGAAATCAGTAAAGACACAGAGGATCTGAACAACACCTTCAGTCACCTTTACCTAGATGCTATTTGTAAAAACTATACCCAACATAGACAAACGGAGCTGGGTGGAACTGCAGGCTGCCTCTAACCCAGACAGAGTTGGGCACAAGTGCCACAGAGACACCAAAGCAGATGAAAAATAAAAGAGGGAAGAATTTAGCAGATTCAGAGAAAGCGTTAATATAGCCGTCATGGGAATGATCAATACTGGATTTCCTTACATTTATTTTATGATTCAGGATTACCCTTGTACTGTCTTTATCTCTATTAACATGGGGTAGGCACCAAAATCTTTGCCGTGTTCCCTCTCTCGTTCTCGTTCACGCGTTTGTTCCCCCAGGTCCCTCCAGCCCCGCACACAGGCCCCTGCCCGCTCTCAGAGCCTCCGAGTCCAGACGGACACTTTCCTTTTAGACTCAAGCTCACAGTCAGGAGTAGAAACCGAGATGGCAGGTTCGACCTTCCATGAATGCAGAAGGACTGAGAACTTCGTGACTGAAATGTCCCTCGAGTGGACTGGAGAAAAAGCAATGGCACGTGACACTGAAATAGGCTTAAGACTTTAATTCAAAACAATACTTCAAATTCCTTCGAACCTCGGAGCTGGTCCAGACCAGCTACTGGTTGGAGGAGAAAACAGCAAGCAGGATGAGGAGGCCGTTGCTGAGCTGTGGGAGACCCAGGGGTGATCCAGAGGGGACCAACGCTGGGGGGGCACCTTGATGCCCTTGGAAGAAATCGAGGCAACTTAAAAACCCAGCTATACATGCTGCCTTCAGGGTCTGGCATTTTCCATCCACCTGAAGGATGAGCTGAAAGAAGGTGGGCTCAAACTATAGTTGTTTTTTTTTTTTTAATTAAGGTAAACCCCATCATTTTAAAGTGTCTAGTCCCACGGCATTTAGTACCCTCACAAAATTGTGCAACCATCACCACCATCTAGTTCCAGAACCTTTTAGTCTCCCTGAAAGGAAACCCCATAGCCATTAAGCAGTCACTCCCGACTCCTCCCTCCCTCCTGCTCCCAGCACCACCAATTTGTGCTCTGTCTCTAGGGATTTGCCTATTCTGGACATTTCATGTAAACGGAATCACACGCTATATGGCCTTTTGTGTCTGGCTTCTTTCACTGAACGTAATGTTCTCAAATTCAAAATGAAGTTTGAGAAACCTGAAGCGGCCAAAAAGAAACTGTTGCCAGCCGCGGGCTCTGACCTATTGCTCTCGCCTTGCTGAAGCGTGCAGGTGTTCCATTCTCTGACGTCCTTAAGTTGCTGGTTTCAGCTGTTGTAGGAAGAAGATCTCAACACCAACCACCCTGAACCGGTCCAGACCCCAACCGCAAGAGTGACACCTGCGCAGACGTGCAGAGAAGCGTAAAAATGTAACCTGTGCCTCAATGTAATACTAAAATCACCACCCCAGGACGATCTTAAGCCTTATTAGCACAACGCGCGATGTATGCGAAAGCATGATTTCAGACTACACCTGCACAGGCTTATACCCACCTCCACACGTGACGTATTCTCTTTGGAATATTCATTCCCTGTCCCAAATAAAGTCCCCGATTTTCCTTTGCTGGAGCAGCCACAGCTTTGTGAAGTCATTCCCTGTGGTCTCCTTTATTTGCAAATAAAAATTTTTGTGTGACAACTGCATCTGGCGAAGACTTTATTTCGACTCACCAGGAAGTGGACCTACCATGGACTGGAAACAAAACCTTTTTGGGCAGTAGCCTGGACGTGGCGACCATGCCAACACGACTTCTTAATGTCTTTTGCGAGCCCAAGGCCTGTGTGTTCAAGAATCTGGGACGGTGAGGTTTTACTGAAATCACAGTAAGCTTTTCTCCAGAAGACGTCTCTCCCCTCTCCACCACCAACTCTGTTTTTAAAAAAGAATTACATTTTCAGGTGTTAAGAAATGCTTCTGAATTGTGGATTTTAACCGAGGATGTTAAATTTTCGCATCGGAGGCACTGATGTCAGATTTTGAATAAGGTGAAATACTGATGATTGGAGGAAAAAAACCCCAGGAGAACAGGCTGCTAATGCCTCGGCCACATCTCCCAGGCTTGTAACATCCTGAGATGTAGCGGAAACAGCTTCCACGGCCCCTCCCAGTAGAAAATTAACACGAATGACGTGTCCTGTTTCTATGGAGACATCTGTGATGCCATACACTGCTCCCAGGATCCGAGAGGACATGGAATTTCAGAAGCTGGTCTCCTGCTGGCCTGTGTCAGGGGCAGGTCCACGCTGGGGGCCGTGCTCCCCTTACACCCTGCTCCAGACCGAGATGCCCATAGGAGCAGTCTGTCTAAGTTATCATTCAGGAGGCAACCCTTGGTCCTTTTGTCCCACCCTCCCGATGTTGCCTATCGGAACCAGCACCCCCAAGAAGCGGAGTCTGGCGCCCAACTTGATGGAGAAGGGCCTGATGGTCCTCCGGAGTGTGGCCAGCCGGGACTACCAGGCCCCAGAATGGAAACTTCGCCAGAAACAGCGCTCCCTCAGCAAGTCGGCTCAGGCCATCAGCAGCTACTACAGGAAGATGGTATGGGGTCTCGAGGGAGGGTGGCCGGCCACGTGCAGCTCACTTGGAGATGACCTGCTTCTCCTGCTTGACGAAAGGCCTCACGGGCTGGTCATCCCATACAGCATTCCAAATATGTTTTGGTGATGGATTAGGATAGGTAGATTCCAGGAGTGCAAAGAATGGAGCAGACCCGAAGCCCAGGAGAGGAGACGCACTGTTGCCCTGAGCCTTCCTTAGGGGGTCTTGAAAAGGAGTGAAGTGGGGAGAAGAGAAAATAAGGAAGGAAGAACCCGGTTGGCAGGGTCATGCACCTCACATGCGCTGGGAGTCTAGAGAGCCAGCCCCCAGCTCTCAGGGGCTTCCTGAATGCACGCCGTCCAGGCTGAGCTGACGGCAGCTTCTAGAGCAGGGCCCGCGTGGCTTGCAGTTTTTTGGGAGAAGGGAAGACGGCTGCAGTGGGCAGCCACGGCCAGGCCCTCAGGATCCGCTGCCAGGAGAGTGGCTTCCCGGGTCTCTTCTCTCAGCAACTGTCATTTTTCCCACTCTGCCAGAGCGAATCCAGGCAAGACGCCAGTGCCGAGGACACCAACTTTGTGTCTGGAATGGAGGAACTACGAAAGGCATTTCTCATGCGTCCTGGCTGCCCCCAGTTTAGCACCAGGGCCACGTCCATGTCTCACTTTGGTGAGAGCCACCAACAAGGGGCCCCACGTGCACACCTCCTCCCTCCCTGTCTGTGCTGGGCCACCTTCCAGCACATGGCAGCCTGCGGGGGGTGGCCAGATCGGATGTGCACCTGCAGCTTCTGAAATTCCCTCTGTGCGGAAGCTTGAGCTGGAACAAGCAGCTGAGACCGCAGAGGGAGGGACCCTTCTCCCTGTCACTATTCCTATTATCTGTCTCCCAGCCTTCTTGCTTTCCTATTGTCTCATTCAGTAGGGTTGTGGGGCAGGGAAGAGGGAGAAGTTGAAGATTCTGGAAGCTTCCAGAAGGAGGTCCGTAAGGCCAAAGATAACTCATTAGGAACCAGTCGCTGTAAGAATCCTTAGCAATGGCTTTGTCTAACCCGACATTGTTCTGATACAGAATATGAGGCTCAGAGAGGGCAACCACGGCGATCAGTGGTTACCGAGGGAGCATCAGTCAGGCCAGCCATTGTTCCAGACCTCTAGGCTCCAGGACCCGGGCTGGTCCCATCTCCCTACACATGATATTATCCTTAGGGAAGGTGGAATCAAGGCTTAGTGCTTGCAGCCAGCAACTGGGGCCCTGTTCATGGATGGAGCCAGCAGTCGAGCAAAAGTGGGGACCCCAACCACCCATCTAGGCTCTAAGCTCCCCCTTTCTCAGTGCCAGGGCCTCAGAGAGTGGCCAATGCTCCAGGACCATGAGTTGTGTGGGCAGGTGTGTAGGAAGGGCTGAGGGACCACACAGCATCCTGAGTGCAGGGTCTGTGCCAACATACTGCTCCCAGGGCGCCTGCCATTGGTACAATTCGCGACAGCTTAGAGGAAATGGGGTCTGCCCTTTGGGGAGAAGGGGCTTCTGCAAAACTTTGAGGAGGAGCTGTTCTGACAGAAGGGAACTCGGGGTCCATCCTCCCAGGGGAGGGGATGCATCAATTTGCAGAGATTAAGTTGCTCCTGCTCAATTTCCAGTGGACACACCAAAGTGGGTAGGAGGACGGAACAATGTTCTGATTCAGTTCCAGGGCTCAATCCCGTGCATCCACAGAGAGAAGAAGTCACCTTCAACCCTACCCCATGTTTAAAAAGAAATGAAAGAATAGTGCCTGCCCTGGAGGTCCTGGTGAGGTGCAACCTTAGCGGTCACCAGCCGGCATTTTAACATCCTGCAGGTTCAGCCACGACCGTCGCTCTGCCAGAGGAACTGTGTGTCAGCCCCAGGACCTGGAGGAAGAGAGATGACTCATTCGACAGCCAGCAGGGTTCAGATGTGAAGGCGGACGGTGAGGGCAGGGCCTGCTGGGCGCCAGGGCGGGTGCACCCATGGGGTCCCGTGGGGGCCTCTCCTCGGCACCCAGCGCCGACGGCCTCTGCCTGCACCTATAGGGGCCTCTGCTACCTGCTCCTTTCCCATGGAACTCCTTCCCCAGGACTGCCTGCCTGGCCCTGCGTCCCTGACACACAGGCCCCTGGGATGCATCGCTTCTTGAGTCAGGAGACCCAATATGACTGTTCCTACAGAAAAATGTACTTCTGTTTATCCAAAGATGTACTCCACACCCACATGTCTGCTTTGCCTGAATGCAAGGAAACCCCTTGCAGTGTCCAGGGCCACCTGTGCATGGGGCAGCATTGGGATGACCTTGTTGCCCTGACTCCCAGGCTCTGGGAATCTCCAGGGGTGCTGACGTTTCCCTCCATGTCTTCAACATGCACCCTGGGCTGGGTATGGGCAGATGGACGATGGTGGTACGAACCAGGAGACAGAGAGGAGCCCAGCCGGGCAGCGAAGGGTTTCTGAGGGGAGTCTTGACAGGGGGATGTTATCCTGGAAGACGCTAGGTGACTCAGCACAGGAGGAGTGTGAATGCTCCCTGCTTCTTGGCAGGGCACCTGCTCCCCTTCAGCAAGAGTGCCTGCGAGTTCAATTACTTGCGGAAGAAGAGCGAAGAGTTGAGCCCGGTCACCAGCACCTCGGTCCTAGAGCAGAGCCACCCGACAAAGCGGATACCCTGGTACATCTCGGTCATCCACGAGAAGGTAAGGCCGGGCGCGGAGCCCTGGGCACGGATACTGGCCCTACTGCCCCAGCTCTGCATCCTGCTGGAGAGGAGGCCCCACCCACCCCGGGGGCTCTTGTTCTGGTCGCCCCTGCGAGCAGGTCCCCAGATGTGGCCTACATTGGCCTCCAGATCCCCTCCTTTGGCTTCTGTGAATCAGACATTTGACAAATCTTCTGTCCTCTGTCCATCTTCTTCCCAGCGGGTGGCCCTTAAAGCTGGCACGGATCTCGCCAACTTGTATGCAGCTCGACACACGTTATCCTGACCGTCACCTAGCCACACACCTTTGACTTAGTAATTCCATTTGGGAGAATATCTTCTTAAAAATAGTAATAATCAGCTTGATACGTAAAGATCCACCTGTGAGTCAGTTCCTTGTGGTCTTAGCGTTTTCATCAATGTTTGTGAGAGATTGGCTTGTAATTCCCTCGTCTGCTTTTGGTGTCAGAGTCATTCTGGCCTCAAAACAACAACAAAAAAGGTTGGGAAGCATTTCCTATTTTTCTTTTTCTATTCTCTGGAAGACTTTGCACAGATCAGTTTTATCTCTTTGGTAAATTCTGAAGAATTCATCACCGGGGCCATCTGTGCCTGGAGATTTCTTACAGGGTTGGTTTTTAAACTAAGAAATTTCTTTTAAGATATTCAGATTTCCTTTTTCCTCTTGTTGCAGTTTTGATAAGCTATGTTTTCCTAGGAATATGTCCATTTCAAGTAAATTTTCAGATTTATTAGCCTAACTGTGTACATAATAGTCTCGTATTACCTCTCCAGCATCTGCAGGAGAGTCTGCAGGAGATTAGAGAGCCTCCATCATTCCTCACGCGGCTAACTTGTGCCTTCTCTCTTTTTCTCTCCATCAGTCTTGTTAGAGGTTTATCAATGTTAACAGTCTTAGAATCAGCTCCTTCTTCTTTTTTTTAAGCTGGTAAAGCTTTAATGACAATTATGGAAATGAGTAACACAAAATATCGGGTAGTTGGTGGGTACACGACAGGGACTTACAGGGCCCTGCTGGGGCGGGTCCATGAGTATTCAGTTCACTTTATTCCTGAAACGCTACCCATACATTTATGATAGACTTCACAATTTAAAAAGTGTTGATACCCTTTGACCAAGCAATTCCACTTTTGGGAAATAGCTTGAGGATGTAAGACGATAGAGTCACACAGTGGGACTGGTACTTATTTATGGGGCCAGCCCCATGGCTGAGTGGTTAAGTTCGCAAGCTCTGCTTCGGCGGCCCAGGGTTTTGCTGGTTCAGATCCTGGGTGCGGACACGGCACCACTCATCAGGCCACACCGAGGCAGCGTCCCACATGCTACAACTAGAAGGACCCACAACTACAATATACAACTACATACTGGGGGGATTTGGGGAGGAAAAAAAAGTTGCTAGAGTCACACAGATAGATATAAAAGGATGTTCTTTTCACTGCTGTTATTAATCCAAACAGCAGGGAGGGGATTTACTAGCTCGTGTATGTGAACCAACCAGGGGAAGGGCTGCAGGCTTGGCTGCCTCCAGGAGCTCAAATGGTATCCTTAGGGTTCTCTTTCTTGCATCTCTGCCATCATCTGAGCTGTCACAGGTAGTGCTTCTCCTCTGGAGGCAAGAGAGCTACCAGCAGCAACAAGCTCCAGGTGTGCAAAGTCAGCAGCCCCATCAGAAATGAGGGTCTCCTTCCTAGGAAGCATTTTCTGGTCTGGGACTCGTGCATGTGTTTCTGCATGATTACTTTCCCCTTTGACTTTAATAGTACAAATAATTCCCACATACCCTTCAGATTCCCTGAACACTGAAATCTTGCCGCATTTGCTCCGTCCTTCTCCTCTACTCTCCCTCCCTTCCTGTATCATCCATTCTTGCACTGAATTATTCCCTTCCTTCTATGTTCATTAAGTTTAGTGTGCAGTTCTTTTTCTGAATTCTTAAGATGGATACCTAGGTCATTGATTTTCCATTTTTCCCCCTAATAGGTGCATTTTAAAGCTATACATTTGCCCTTAGTCACAGCTTTAGCTATACCCCATAAGTCTTGATATGTCCAAATGTTCATTATTATTTAGCTTAAAATATTTTCTAATTTCCTTTTGGATTCCTTTTTTGACTTGTGGGCTACCTGGAAGCCTATCTTGTAATTTCCAAACATTTAGAAGACTTTCCAGTTACTTTTCCTTCCAGAATTCTGGAATCACCTCCCTCCTTCCCTCTAGTATTTCTCGAAGTTCAGGTCTGCTGGTGGTAAATTCTTTCAGCTTCTGTTTGTCTGAAAACATCTTGCATCTCCAACTTGGAAGAATTTAGGGTGTTGAGATTTGGGGAATGGAAGGCTGAGGGGCAGAGGGCCCTGGGGTGGCTCTCGGAGGGAGGGTGTTGCTGATTAGATGTGAGGCCACATAAAGACTGGCATCCTCAGTCACAACTGGAGGGCTGCCCAGGAGCCCCAGGCCTGAAGCAGAGGCTGCCACAAATCTCCCCAGCAAGGATTTCAGACCTGCCCGTAGGCAGGATGTGGCTGCAGTAAAGAAGCTCACATCTCGGGCTCAGGATTTCAGGGTCCCGGGGCAGCAGGTCTGCTCTTCCTGGGCCCGGAGCTGCTGTCCTGTGGGTGGGCTGGAGAGAAAGGAGGAAGAGTCTGTGTGGCTCTATGGCACATGGGGCTGCCCTCGTTTTTCTGCCCAGGACCGCTGCCTGTTCACGCTGGGGGAGGAAGTCCAGCGCCTCTCTGAGCTGCAGGTGCAGGTTCAGAAGAAAGACGAGGAGATCTTGGCCCTCCAGGAGGAGCGGGAGGCCCTGAAGAGGCAGCTGAAATACCTCCTCAAAAGCAAAGGCGAAGAGGCCTCAGGGTACCAGGGCATGCGGGTGAGCTGAGCGCCTGTGCCACAGGCTCTGCTTCCAAAGTGTCCAGACCTCCTGGTGACCCTCAGGCCACCTGGAAAATCCCCGGTCATCCTGGAGGGTTGCCAGGTCCTCAAAGGAGCTCCCACTGGGTCTCAGGGTTTTGAGCTACAGGCCAGAATCCAGAGGACAGTAAATAGGAGGATGATATGAAGAAAGAGCCATGAGCTGGACAGCTAGACCCCTGTGCTTTGCTGCCGGCTTGCTTTCTCCCTGGAGCAGGTTATGGTACTCTCTGGGCTCAGTTTCCCTACCTGTAAGATGAGGGCCCCATTCCTCTGAAATCCTGGAGGATGGAAGGCCCCCTGCAGGTGATGTCCCCAGACCTGGCCTGGCTGTGGGCCCCATGAGTCATGGTGGCTTGGATTAGCCTGACCCTTTCTGGCTGTGGGATGCTCAGTGTTCTTGCTTGTAAAATAGGGATGGGGGTGCTGTCCTCCCCCAGGGCTGGGCAGAGGCCTGGATGGGGCAGGTCCTGGCAGTGTGCAGGAGCAGCTCTGTGTGGCCCCAGGAAGCAGTCACTGGTCTTTCTCACACCTGACTGCTTTCATCCCTGAGGAGGCAGCCCACGTTTATGCTGGGGGCACACATGAAGTGGGGGTTGGGGGCTTCAGACCATTATAGAATCCTCCAGAGAAAGCTGCCCAGACACGATGGTAGGGGGCCAGTAGGCAGGGGGCAGCAGAAGTCTGGAGAGGCCTGGAAGCATCACCTGCATTTCCAGCTCCCCGGCCTCCCAGGAGCTGTGAGATAGGCGTGAGAGGGCAGGGCGACAGCAGTGACGTGCAGCGTGAGCATGTCTGAGGCTGGCCCCCGTCAACTCTTCCAAATGAGCATGTTCATTACTGGAAGGCCACTCACCGGGGCCATTCTGGGGAGCCAGGAGTCGTACGGCCCCCCAGGGCTGCCATCTGCAGGCCACTGCCCCCTCACCACACTGACACAGCACCCTTGGCACAAGCACGGCGGGCAGAGAGGCTGCCGTCCCCCTTCCAGGAGGAAGGGTCTCGGCAGCACATCACCTGGGGGAGCTGAGGGAGCAGTCTGAAACCCTGAGGCTCATGCGGGCATCTCGCAGGAGCGGTCCTCAGAGTCTGCACCAAAGGCGGTGGGGAGGCTGAGCATCCTGAAATCGTTCTTCAGAGATGAGGAGGAGCAGCACTGCTTGAGGCAGGTGTGGGCGGGCCCGGAGGCTGGACAAGCAGCTTGGGGCCCAGGTGATGCCCAGGCCACATTATCCCACCTGCAGCCCTAACCTGGTGGCCTTCCCCCAGGTGTAGGCCCTCAGCTGCCCTCTGGGGAACAGGAGAGGGGTGGCGGGGCAGATGCCAGGAAAGCAACCCCAGGCCCCGAACCTGGGGAGACTATGCGGCTCGCGTGTCTGCGGCAGGGTGGCGGCACAGTGCCCCTGCCCAGCACCCATCCCTCTCTCAGATGCAAGAGGAGTATGCCGTGAGCGACAGAGGCAAGGACCTGGAGGCAGGCGGTGTTGAGGAGGAAGAGAGCCTGGAAGGGGAGGCCGAGAGGGCAGCGGACAAGGGAGCACAGGACCGTGAGGGCGGGACGGGGTCTGCACAAGAGGAGAGAGGTCAGGAGGAGGAGGAGGAAGTGGAATTGGAAGAGGAGAAGGAGGTGCAGGAGGAGGAGGACGCCGACGCCAACCTCGGCAGGAAGAGGACTTGGTCCCTGGACGAGGTGTTTGAGCAGGAGCTGATGGCGCAGCTGGAGGAGTATGAGCAGGTGATCCAGGAGTTCCAGTTCGAGCTGGAGATCACCAAGACCAGATACTCCCTCGCAATAGGTACGATGCTGGAGGACACCAAGGCAGAACCAGCGGGCCCGGGCTTAGCAGCTGGGATGCCCAGGCACTGCCAGCTTTGTCCGGTGGGCAGAACGGTCAAGGGTCCACCCTGTCCTGCTTAGCTGGGAGGCACCCAAAGGAAGGCACCCTGGGAAACTGAAGGAGGGGGTGCCTGGTGCTGGACGCCTGGGTAGGAGTCAGCAACCCTCAGCCTGGGGTCGCAGGGCCCCTTGGAGCTGACGTGGTGACCCCAGCCCCTCTCTTCCTCGTCTCATCATCACCTCTGGCTCCCGCCTCTCCTCTCTCCCACTGCTCACTCAGGGGTCATCACATCTTTGCAACGACAAGTGGATTTCCAAGAATCCCAGCTGCAAAAGATCAACACGGAAAACGAGATGCTGGAGAAGGAGCTGCGAGAGCGGAAGCGTCAGTTACAGGCCATGTCAGACAAGGTGCGGTGTCCTCAGTCACTCTGCAAGCACCGCATCCCTTCACTGGCCCTCCCAGCAGCTTGGAGAGGGGGCGCCATCCATCCCATCCCACTGATGGAGATGTTGAACTTAGGGAGCTGAGTGATTTGCCCAGGGTCACACCGCTGATAGTGGCAGAGCTGGGCTTCGCATCACGCCCCGCCACAGCCTGGCATTGCCCTCTGGTCCAAAGGGTGGTCCTGTCTCCTGGGCCACTTGGCTCCTGGCCACTTCTCGAGCATCTCCTGGCCCCTGCGTCCCAGGGGTGAGATCCCCACCATGCTTAGAGAGGTGGCCCCTCTGCTGAGCCCACTCCTTGTGAAGCTTTTAGTTTCTACTTTTATCGAAGTTATTCGTTCACATAGCTTAAAGAATCAAATGGTTCCACAGGGCTTGTTATGTGAAACAGGGGTGTCCACCCATCTCCCTCCCCCAAGGCAGCCACTTTCAACTCTTCTAGCTGGTTCTTTAAGAACTGCTCTCCATGTCTCTAGATAGCACGTCTATAATGCCCATTCTAGATTTTTCTCCATCTTAGCCTTATCTGACGCTTCCCTCTTTCCTCCTCTGGCTCCCCCACACAGGAAATCTACCCCCAATCCCATTCTCTCACGGTGTCAGTGGGTTGACGTTGCATTTACAGCATTAGGACACTTACCAGTAGCACACGCATGAACTGAAACCCGTTTTGTGAAACGGTATTAAGATTCGTAAACCACATTTTAAAACTGCTGCACCCCACATCTTTCTCTTTCTTGATCTGCTCCCTTATCTTCTTTGGAGCACATCCTTCGGTGGCTTTTTGAGAAGAGATGAGTGGGCGTAAATTTTGAGGGACACCATAGGTCTGCAGATGTCCTTGTTCCACACAGGAATAGAACTTGGCTGGATCCAGAATTCCAGTTTGGAAAGCACTTTCCCTCAGAACTGTGAAGGCCTTGCTCCATCATCTCCTAGCTCCCGGGGTTGCTGGCGGGAAGCCCACGGTCTCCCTCATGCTTGTGCTTCCTTACAACGTGGTTCTTGGTGTTGGCTGGTTCCTCTCTAGAAAGTTGTAAGATCCTACCTTTGTCCCAAGTGTTCTGAAATCCCACCAAGTTGCACCTTATTGAGCGTCTCTTTTCATTGTCCTGGCTCGCAGTGGCCAACTGGAGACTTGGGCCCTTCAGTTCTGGAATTTTTCTTTGTTTATATTGTTTTTCATTTCCTCTTCTTTTTAGGAGATTTCCTTGACTTTGCCAACAGCCCTCTGCCTGAGTTTTAATTTTGTTCCAACACTCACAATTCTCGAGACCTCTCTTCTGTTCTCTGAACGGTCCTTTCTCTCCCTTTTTGAGGCGTGCTCTTTTTTTCCCCCTCAGTTGCGATATCTTCTTTTACTTGGATGAAAGCGTTAATGAGAGTAGTTGTTTTAACTTCTTGCACCACTTCTATCTCTTACAAGATCCTTTTGTAAGTGTGTTTTTGGTCCCTGTCACCCATGGGAGAACTCTGTTCCAGCGTCAGAGCTGGCTGGCCCCTCCGAGCGCGGTGACAACGTTGTGCTTCGTGGCAGAGGCGTGTGCTTGGGCGTTTAAACGGAGAGTTCAGTGCTGGTTTTCTTAGGTCTTTCCTCTTGGTTTGGTTAGCTTCCCCTGGAATCTGGGAAAACTGCATGAATTTCTTGCCTGGAATGTAAAGGCCTGGCTGCCTGTATTCTGGGAGCCAAGTGGGGACGAAGGCTGGAGTCTGCGCGTTCAGCACCCACACTCCACCTGGCGTCTGGGATCCCCCCCCCACCCCCCCGCCCCGCCCCCACCCCCCCAACATCCGGTCTCCCGCCAGGTAGGGAGGGGTGGGTACCCGTCTACTGAGGGTTGGAGGCAGTCTGCGGCCGTTAGTTTCTGAAACAATGTCGCACCGATTCTCCCCATTTGAGCCTCCACGTCCAGGAGAGCCGGCACCACCAATTTCTGAGACTCTGGGGACTGAGTGTGAATCCGGCTTGTCTTCAGCTGTCCCTGCTGCCGGCTCAGGATTCAGCTTTCCCGGGTCTGCTCCCCAACTCCCCCAGCATCTCTGGCATTCCTTCTCCTCTTCTCCCCTCCTTGACAGAAAGCTCCCTGCTTTCGTCTTACTGAGGTTCATGGGGTTGAAAGGTAGACATGAGTGTTCAACCTGCTACCTCGCCGCGGAGCCCCTGAGCCCGCCCCTCCTCTCTGCCTTCCAGTTCTCCAACCTCCGAGAAGACAAGAAGCACACAGAGATGATGGGGCTCATTGAGAAGGACAACCGTCTTCTCCGACAGGTGACCACTGCAGGGATTAAAAGGTCAGCAGGTCACTGTTCTTGCTGTAAGTCTTGATGCAGTGATGGGGGAAGATGAAGCTGGGCAATCCCTTCACAGCTGAGTTGGCGCCCACTCGTGGGCAGCAGCCCATTCAACACTCCTCAGGAGCGCAAATGCACACAGCGGCTCCTCCCATTGCTGGATCCGGATTTGACCTGAGGAACTCAGTGAGAGTTGGTGGCTTTTGGGGGAAACAGGGATGGGAACAGGTGTAATCATTTTGGGCCAGATCGGCCGACTCCTCTGTCCCCCATGGCTGTCTCCCCCCGGCCCCCGGCCCCTAGAAAGTGTCGGAGCTGGAGAGTGAACTCACCAAGCGAGAGCAGACCATCTTGGAGTGTGACGCCAAGGTCAGCCAGCTGCAGGCCCAGGTGGACCTGAACCAGAAGCACCTGCAGAGATGGAAGCAGCTGCAGGAGGAGATGCAGAACAAGAATGAGATGGTCCAACAGGCAGAGCAGCGGGCCCTCATGGCCCTGGAGATCGCCCACTCCAGGGTAGGCCCGGCTCCCTCCTCCTGAGGGTCCTGGTCCAGCAGCAGGCAGCGCAGAGCATCAGGACCTTGTGGGTGGCTGACAGGGGGCGGACCATGCTCTGAGTGGCCAGGCGCTCTGACTCAGTCCCCTGCATCCCAGCCCCTGGCACGGAGTCAATGCTCCAAAAATGGTGGTGGAGGAGGGGGCACAGACACTTTACTCAGCCGTCGAGGCAGGAGGCAGCCAGGTGGGCGAAGGTGGCCTTGATGACCCCGTTTGTGGAGAGCGTCTTGGGTTGTGCTGTGAAGGGCCACAAGGATGTGGACAGCCAGCCAGGAAGGAGAAGGGCCCCCAGTGGGAGGGACATAGTAATAATCTGTAACTTATCGAGTGCGTGCCATGGGGCAGGCAGTGTCTGAGCATTTTATATGAGTCATGTGACCCTGTTAACAAAGCCAGATGTCCTCAGTATCCTCACCCTACAGAGGAGGAGGCTGCAGCAGGAGAGGACAAATATTCCCCCGAGACCCCAGAGCTGCCTAGAGGTGGGGTTTGAAGAGAAGGACCCCTCAGAGCCCCCAGCCAGACGTGAGCAAAAGCACAGTGGGAGGCCGGGTACACCCTGCTTAGGAGGAACCAGGCCGAAAAGGGAAACCAGTGAGGAGCTGACCTGACTCAAGTCACCAAACCAGCCAAGTGAAAGGTCCCTCCCACACAAGTAGGCTTTTGAAGCATTTTCCCCACCCTCCAGGAGCACCAGCTCTGAGCCAGCTGTGTTCTCCTGCCTGTTTGGGGCTGGCCTCCTGCCAACTGGCTCAGGCAGCATCACTGAGGGCCCCCCCACACACCTGTTATCTTTTATGAGACCGTGTTTCCCATCCAGCAGTAGTCCCAGCTGGAGCATCAGATGGCTGATGGTGTCTAGATTTCATTTCCTGTGCCAACTCACGTTGGTTTGGTAGAGCCTAGAATGCTGTGTTGAGAAAGATTCTGAGGCTAAGTCTGGGGTCAGTGGGAAGGAACGCCATGAGTGATGAGTGGTGCCTGAGACAGGCCTGTGCACGGGGCACTGTGGCTGGACACCCAGGTGACCGCCACCCCTTAGGCAGCGGAAGTCACTTCTGGCACAGAGAGAGCACCCCCCATTCCCTCGGTAACCCCCACACCTAGCACGGTGCCTGGCACAGAGCTGGCATCGATACATAGAAGACAGAAGGAAAGGAAGCCCCTCCCCACATTTGCAGTCCGGGGCCTTTAATATCCCCGCTGTCGCTTGAATCCTGTCCCAGAGGCAAAGCAGACATGCTCACAACCCTTTTAGACAATGCCGAGTCTCCTAGCCTGGCTCTCACTCAGCATTTCTGCATCTCCAGGGCTTCTGGACACTCAGGATCCAGGAGATGGTGCTGAGCTGGTTGCCATAAGTTGGGGGACCCTGTCTGAGGGCTTCTTGGGTACAGATTGGAGGGGTTTATTCTGAAGTCACTGGGGGCATGATCAGCTCACCTCTGGGGAGGCGGGCTGGGGCCGTGCACATGCACAAGGATGCTGATGACAGCAAGAGACTAGACAGCCTCAGCGGTCCATCCTGGTTAACACCTGGTTAAACGCACAGCTTGAAGTGTCTCCCGGTCCCGATAGGGAGGGGCCGCCAAGCGTTTCATTGAATCCCAAAGCGAGGGGCTGACTGAGCCTGCAGGACATGCCACTGTGTCCTGGAGAGCCCCCCTCCCCCGGTGTCGGGAGGAGATGGTGCCCGAAGCTCCTGGGGGTCGTTGGGAGCTTTTGTGTTTTTTTTTTCTAACCATGTGCGGGTTTTACTTTTTCAATTAAGACGAGTTAGTATGGTAGAAAATCTTTGGTTCAGGCCACGCTGGGTGGCTTTGATGGGGCACCGTCTAGCTCTCAGGCTGACCACGCTGACCTCTCCCACCCTCAGTTCCCAGTTCCTAAAGCCCAAAAAGCGAGCATTCGGCTACCTCCTGTAAACCTTACACGGGGCAGTGGGCGTGGCTCACGCCTTCCTTATCCTCCCTTTGCTGGCAGCTTGAAAGACTGAGAAACAAGATCATCCAGGCCACCTTCAGCACCTCAGGCATCAAGTCCTTGGCCACCGAGATCTCTGACAATGACATCCTGGAAGTCCTACAGGTACATCCAGTGCTTGGCCGCCGCCTCATCTCTGGGGCCACATCTCCAGGCCAGAGCTCGCCGATCTGCAATGGGGCCAAAGGGACAGGCCTGGATTGGATGCTGGGGACCCCCATTCTCACCCTGGCTCACCCTCGTTCACTGTGACCCTGGGGTCATCCTTTCTTTCTGCTCAGGCAGAGACCAGATCTCCCGCAGGGGTGGTGATGTCAGGCAGCTGGTGAGGCTGGGGTGCTCTCGGCATTCCGTGACCGGCGGCAGCAGCAAGCCGTCTGGGGTGCAGTGGGGAGAGGGCCAGGCTGCTGGGGTCCTGGAGAGTCTCCTGCCACAGGAGCCCTCCCCAGGCTCTGCCCAGCTCAGCCTTCTTGGCCATGCTTCTTAGCACCTTGGCATGGCCTCCACTGGAATTGTCATCTGCTGAGCCAGGACCCTGGCAAGGAGCTCTCTCCCCAGCCTCAGCCCCTGCCAGCTCCTCGCTGACCCCAAGCAGAGGCCTCAGAGGGACAGGGTGGTGTAGGAGAAATAGTGCAGGCTTTGGGGCCAGCAGGGGTGAGCTGTTGTCTGCCTCCCTTGGCGGAGAAGCTGTGGGCAGGTTCCCTCGACTTGGCTGAGCCCTAGAGCTTCCCCCTGCACATGGGAGAGAGCAGGCATGGTGGGGTCCGGAGCTCTGGGGGAAGAGCCCCCCACTGACAGGTGCTCTGTGGGGGCCACGCAGGCTTCTCACCAGGGGCTGCTCTGTCGTCAAGCCCCAAGTCTCCCTGACAGCACAACCCTTCGACCCCAGCAGGTGTCCATGACCTTCCGTCACCCATGTTTCCCTTGGCCTGGCTCCTTTCCTCTGTGAAGTGGGGCAGGCCCTGGTCAAGAGTGCTCCTGTAGGGCAGTGGTCCTCAGGGGAGAGGACACCTGCATGGGGACCTGCGGAGAGGTCTCTGCCCCTAGCTAACATTGTTTGGCGGAGGAGTGGGCGAGAGAGGATGGCCGGAGAGAGAGGATGGGAGGGAGAGAGAGAGGGAGAGAGGGAGGCAGAAGGTAAGGAGGGAGGGGGGATGGGAGGAAGATGGGGAGGGATGGAGGGAGGGATGCAAGGAGTCCTCAGCACCACCTAGTAGCCAGGAAAGATCCCCTTTCCTTTGCTGACGCCTGACACAAAACAGCAATGGGCCAGAGAGGAGGAGGGAGGGAGGAAATGGGACAGCCTCCCTGTGTGCAGGACAGAAAGGACTTGAGGGACAGACTTGAAGGGCTCTGAGGTCTCCGAGTCTAGGCTCCTTGCAATTCTCAGAGGACTAAAGTGATTTTAGCACCAGCTTCAGGAGTGAGCCCACCCGGAGCCCCCGTGGGCATCTCTCCCCAGCTGGGAGTTCCGCAGCTTCACGTCTGTGGCTGGACCAGCCCGTGGTGGGAGTGTTTTCAGCACAGAAATGGCAAATGCTCCAAACCAGAGCTTTTTCTTTTTACCCCTGGAGAGCGGTTGTAAACGTTCCCCAGTAGCACACCACCGCTGCAGTGGCCCCTCGGGGGAGGACGGGTGGGGTCCCCGGCAGCCAGCATGGACCGCCGCCCTGGCTGCATTTCTCTTCCAGAAGATCATCTCGGAGAGAACCGACTACTACAATCAGTTGAAAATGAAAGGGGTCAAAGTTCCTCCCCTGCAGCAGCTGGAAATCTTATCCTCGGTGGGCAAACCCAAGAAGCCGGCCGCCAAGTAGGCCCCGCCCCACCCCCAGGTCTGGCCGGCCGCGGAGGCAGGACCCGCTGGGGAAGCGTCCCTGCGCCCTGCGGCCCCGCCTCTGCGCGCTGATTCCGGAGTAAACCTTGCTGTTGGCCACGGTCTCACCTTTTCCTTCCTGGGACTCAGAGGGGGCTCGGGCTATATCGACACCCCTGATTCCAATACTCACTCCTTGGGGGTCAGCACAGCAGCCCGCACCCCTGGCTCCTTCCTGAGGAGACCCCACACTGAGCAGGGTCCTTCCGGTGGTCCCAGGTTTAGGAGGCCTGAGCCTGGGCTCCTGTTCACGGCAGTTCAGATCAGACCCCGCATCTGTCCTTTCCTTCTGCCAGCTGCACACACCTCTGAGGGCGCCCTGCCATGGGGGCTCCCCTAGCTGTGGAAGAAGGTGGGTGGAGGTGGGGCACCTCCGCTCCCACCCCCGCTGCTGGAATGAGAGCACCGGGAGGGCAGGTTTGTCTGTGTTGGCCACCGATGTCTGTCTCCAGCGCACAGCAGGCTTCAGGCATATAACCACGTGCGGAAAGAAGGCGTCGGTCACGGCATCTTCTCTCTGCTCTCCACGCCGCCGTCCACGCATCCTCCCATTCACGCAGCACCTGCTTGCTGAGCGCGGACCCTGCGCGTAGCCGCCCCGCCCCGGCCTCTGGCCCCTGGTAGCGAGCGCAAGGACAACCCCAGCCGGGGCTCCGAACAGGGCGCGCCGAGCCCCGCGCAGGCCCCGGGGCGCCCAAGGGGAGCCGCCTCGTCTCTGTTCAAACCCAGACGGCCGGAGGCTCTCGGAGCTCCGCTTCTGCCTTCGAGCCGAGTCAGCTGGGTCTGGGGGGAGGACCGGGCGCCAGCGCAGGGCTGCAGCAGTGGGGAGGGCCGGGGAGATCCTGGCCGCGGCCGGGCCTTGGGAGGCGCCTCTTGTTGCGGCCCCTAGCCCCTGCGGCCCCTAGCCCTCTCGCCCCGGCAGCAAGCACCTCCTCCGCGGCGCGGTCAGCTCCCCAGCTCGCTCCACCCCGGCCCCGCCCAAGGCCCCGCCCCCGCCCCGCCCCCGCCCCGCCCCCGCCCCTCAGCTCGGCCCCCTCGCGGCCAGGCGTCTCTCCCCGCCAGCCCCATCTCCCCCGGCCTGGCCCCGCCTCTCCCCAGGCCCCACCTCGGGCCCCGCCCACCTCGGCCCGGCCCCCGCGCAGGCACCACCCACCCACTGCCCAGGCCCGCCCACCCTGCCCGGGCCGGGACACTACTGCCGCACGCGGGGCGGCCCGGGCCGCAGGCGCCAGGTGAGACGCGGGGCCGGGTGCAGCTTCCTGGTGCGGCCACGAGGAGGAGGTGGGTCTGGCTGCGCAGCCCCCGGCCTCGGAGGCGGCGGCGCCCCTGGCCTGCGAGCGGCCGGCCTGGGAGAGTGAAACTACCGGGGTGGGGGGCGGGGAGGAGGGGCTGTCCGCGGCCCACCGAGCCCCGGGGCCAACCCTAGGAGGGGCGGCCAGAGGTCCGAACTGGCCCCTAGCTTCTGCTGACCGCCTGAGGACGCCCCAGGGCCCTTTCCCTTCCCAGCGGCCCCTATCAGGCTGCTTCTCTTTGGCTTTTCTTTATTTTCTATTTTTTTTAAGGTGGGGGGCACCGGCTGCACCTCAGACCCCGACCCTTGGGCTGGGAGGAGGTGAGATCCACTTACCAGGCTCTGACCGTCTTCCGGGGCTCCAGAGGACGCCAGGACCCCACCTTTGTAAGTTATGGGCTCCTTGGAGGGGTTTTGGGGTCAAAGGGGTCTAAGGTATGGGGAACCAGTTCTCACCCTCCGGAGGCCGCCGTACCCCCTGAGGCTCCCAGGGCTTGGCAGGTGCCCCTGGCTGGCAACACAGCCCCGGGCTTCTGTGACACGGTGTGCCGTTGTGTGGGGGTTGGACACACACTTCCTGAGCGAGTGAGTGAAGTCCTCCAGAGCCTAGCTCCAGCACCTCACCGGCTTTGGTGACTTTGTCCAACCAGGACGACTTTGAGAACCACGGTCTGCATCAGTCAGGAATGCATTCTGCGGGTCGTGGCAGGACCCCGCTGTAGGCTTGAGTAGGTTGGGGTTGACTCTCCTCATAGCAAGAAGCTGGGCAGTTGGTGTGAATTGGGAGACTCTGCATCATCGGGGCTGGTGTTGCAGGATATATGGAATGGAAGGTGGCTGCTGCTGCTCCAGCCATCACATCAAAGCACGAGGAAGGAGGTGGCTGCTGTTTCCTTCGTGAAAGCAAAAGCTCCCCTTGCCGCCTGCGGCACCCCAGCACTGCCCACATCTGGGAAAGCGGAGACCAGGGTGTTAAGCTTGTCTTAGCTATCACTTGGGGCTAGCACATTGCTGCCTGGAACAAGATGGGGATTCTGGCCTCCAGAGGGAGGCGGTAGACGTAGGCAGGCAGCTAGCAGAGCCGGCCCATAGCCCCGCTCCCGAACACACCCTGGGAATGCAGAACCCACACTCAGCAAACGCTTGGTCCCCCTTGGGCCTGAGAATGGCCTGAGTGGCCACCGCCGAGCCAGGGCTCCCACCCGGAGACAGGCTCTGTGGCTCGGAGACAGGCTCCCCTCCTTGCTCCCTGCTGGCCTGGGATTGGGGGCAGGCCGAACTCGGAAGCAGGGCAGGGGGTGGAGAACCACCAGGTTTGTGAGTTTCTGGATTGGCTGCTTGACTTAAGTGGCCCGCTGTGCCTTCGGCCTGGGTCCAAGATTACCTGGGAGAAAGGGCAGAGGTTCCCAGGCTGCTGGGGGCTGAGCAAAGTCTCAGCCCCTGAAAGTAAGGGACCTCCCTGGCCTCTGAACCCCCAGCACACCAGGGTGACCCCCAAGCCCCGGGTCCTCCCACAGTGGCAGGTGGGGGAGGGGCTGCAATTCGGACAGGCCAGAGGCCACAGATGCTGCCACTGCCCAGGCCGCCAGGCCTCCTCCCCCCACCGGACGGGCCGTACCAGCCGCCGCCCCCAGGCCTGCCACCCCGCCTCATCCCTGTCTTCCCAGTCTCCAGGGAGCGGCTCTGGGGCCTTATCTGTCAGGAATGGGGAGGAGAGGAAGGCAGTTATCAGGCTGGCTGGCGGGCCCAGCAAGGACCCGCGAGTGCTGCCTCCAGGGTGGCAGCAGCTGTGCTGGGAGGCCCCCAGGGAGTGGGCCGCGTGGAAATCAGCCGCTCACATTCCTGAGGCAGGGCTTGGCGGACTTCAGCCTCCCTGGGTTGGAATTCCTGCTTTGCCTCCTCCCCTGTGACCCTGGGCAAGGGGCTTGACCACTGTGTCCTGGCTACCTTAGAAGCCAGATGAGGGGCTGTGGTAAAGAGGTCAGCCCCGCCCCCAGGCAGCCCCTCCTCGCCCTCAAAGTAGCCCCGCAGGGAGGCCGCACTGCCCTCACCCGGCCTGCTTTACAGTGAAGTCAGAGCCCTGAAGGAACGCACGCCTGCCTCGGTTTCCCCGCCCTCAAAGGCCTCCCCGGCCCTCTGCCGCCCTCAGCATGCAGCCCCAGGACAGCAGCGTCCAGTACAGCCGGTGGAACAACAGCAGCCGAGATGAAGTCAGCGTGGCCCCTGTGTCCAGCACAGAGGAGGCCTCGGGCTATGCGAGGTGAGGGCCCGGGAGGAGCAGCCCCACGTGGTCCCACAGGCCGGTCCCACCCTCCACCTCCTCTGAGTCCCTCCTCCGTGTCCTTCCTCCAGGCTCCCCCCTCCAGCCTCCCCTCCGCTCCACGCTGCTGGGTGCTCACCCGCAGTCGCAGCCCTGGGCCCTACGCCTCCGTCTTTCCCCGCTCACCTCCCTCCTGTCACCCAGGTCCAGCAGAGTGCCCAGGCTGCCCTCCTGGGGCGCCCCCTGCCCCAGGCCCCCTCCTCCCCCAGCCAGCACCCTGCAGTCCACTCGGGCCCGTTTAGGTTCATGTGCCCATGATTCTCACCCTAGGATCTCCCGGAAGCTGTGCTCGGGCAAGCTGGGCATCTCCCTGAAGGTGCTGGGCGGAGTGACCCTCTTCTGGGCTGTCTTCATCCTGGGCTACCTCACCGGCTACTACATGCACAAGTGCAAATAGCGGTGCCCAGCACGCACCCTTGGGGTGGCCACACGCGCACACTCAGGGGCACGAGAGGGACACTGCTATATACGAGAAACCCCTCTGTATACACGTATCCCTATATATACAAACCTTCCTATACAAAGCCTCCCCTGTGTACACGGACCCTCCTCCATATACATGGCCCCACTGGTACACACAGATCCCCATATACACAGCCCTCTTATATACACAGCATCCCTTGTATATACGCACCCCCCCCCAAATACACAGACCCTCCTCCATATACACAGACCAACTCGTACACACGGATCCCCATATACACAGAACCTCCTAAATACAGTGCCCCCATATATACAGACTCCCCCATATACACAGATCCCCCCATACACAGACTCCCTTCCATATACACAGAACCTCCTATACACAGCCCTATTCCTATACATAGCCTGCTCCACGCACAGACCTCAGGGGCAGACACAGCTCACAGGGCACAGGTATTGGCCCCAGGCACATGCGGACACCAGTGTGCTCAGTAGTCACAGGCCCCCACAATGGGCCCAGGCCTGGTGGCCTCAGGGTGGCATCTTCCCTGGATGGGTCCTGTGTGAAGCTGTATGGCCCTGGGCGTGCCCCTGCCTTCTCTGGGCTCTTCTGACTCCAGCTGTGCAAGGATGGCTCTGAGCAGGGCTGTGTCCCTCTGTCCACCCTCCGAGGGCCCGAGACCCCGTCCTGGAAGTCATTTCCTGCGCAGAGTGGGGAGATGGGCCTCGGCCCATCACTGTGTCTCCCCTCCAGTACAGTGGGCGTGGTTCTCCCTGGGCTGTCCACCTCACTGGGGTGGGCCCGGCGGGAAGGCTTGGTTCCTCCACCTGTGCTGTGCACATGGCCTGCGCCGTCATTAAACGTCTGCTGAAAGAAAGATGGATGACGGCCTCTCCCATGGGTCCTCCAAGCCAGGGATGATTCTCGGTATCCACCTGAGGGGAGGCTAGCTGGAGGGTGTCTGGACAGCAGCCGAGAGGCCTGTGGGAATGGTCTGTGCCGCCCCCCCTCAGGCCCTGGGCC